TCTGCAGTCGGAAGTTGGCTATGGAGGCCGACGGAACAACTTCACCCTCAACAGTCCGTCCTTGAAATGGTAGTTGCTTTTTTTGAAGGCATCTAACCAGGCGAGTCTGTTTTCTCATTCGTTCTTCCTCGCTACAGAAATTGAAAAATGACCATAATACTCTATGCTTGACTTGACTAATTGAGTTTATTATCTTTTTCTAACCAACAATCTCGATTAAATTGTGTCCGAGAAGACCGGAGATGCAATTGACAAATCTGCTAAAGAGCTTGGTGGGGAGTAAGTTTGTCAGTTTCAATCATAACCAAGATTTGTTACAATCAGATTATGGTTTTACATATTATTTATGGATGGCGGGAGTTCTATCAACGACAACTTTTATTTACTATCGCATTAACTGATTTGTTTGGTCTTTTAGGTTCAATTCTTTTCGGGGCCTGCTTGTTGCATTTGCTTATGTATTTATTTCACGAGTGAAATCTTGTTTTCTTTGATTGGTTAACAACACTTTAGAGTGGAAATTAGTATAGAGTGTCACTAAAAATTCCTCCAAAGATAGTTACAAAAAAGAGCCTAAAGATCTGAAATTTGTCGTATCCAATCAGACCCATCTTTTTAATAATTATGAATTTTAAGTATTTTACCGATATAAGATAAAGCCTAAAGGAATTGGGATAGTATTCATCTTGAATCTTTATAGCTAATACTTCAGCACTGCATGGCTGTAAAATTCTCACTTAAATATATTGTGGACACATCTCCTAAGCATTTACTCTGAAGTTTTAAGGCAGGGACATGTTTGTCGTTTACTTCAGTGAGATAAAGCAGTGGCAGTTTACATTGTTGTGAGAACTATTATATTCGTGTAACATTCTTTTCATAACATTCCATGAATTAGACAGTGATATCTTCGTCGGACATTTATTGTTGTTGCTTTTTTAATCCTGAAACAAGTTACATAGTGATGTCAAACAAATACGCCTTCTTTGACGGGGTAGTATGGCGTGACTTATATTGATAGTTTAATGTAGTATGTTTTGTATAATGTTGTGCTTGTAGTATTATAAGATAAGGTAGAAAAGGCTTGTGTTCTGATATGTTTCTAAAACTATATGTTTATGTTTGGTTAAAACATATTGTTCTTTGTTTGATCTCACTTCTGGCTAGATATGTGATAGAGGTTCATATAAGCATTGGAGGAAAAATCTAAAAAGTATATGAGGAAAGAAAACGAGAGATTAGTTTAAAAAACACAAACTATTTTTGCCATGTAGTTTACCATCAAAGATCATTTGAGATAAACCAAATAACTCCTGCATTCGAGCTAAATATCTTAAGGCGGATCCAACTTATTTGTCACTATTAATATCATGCTTAAAAATGGGAAAACTTGTGACTTGAAATTTGCACAATGCTGTATTTTATTCTCTTACATTTTCTTTTGCTTATAGTTTCTTCACTACTCATCTTATGATCAGCCATCTTATTTTTTACATTTGTGAAAATGGTTAGTTGGTTGGCTGGTTGGACAACGGTGTAGTTTCATCAAATGGTGACGAGAATAAATTTGCACTTCAAGTTCTGTCCATCCATCTCGATCAAGTAATTCATGATACTGAGCGTGGTGCGGTGCTCTAGATAGATGCCTTGTGAGTACCATGTCCTAAAGGGCGCCTCAAAACTACTGTCAAGAAAAATAGTGAAGTGCCATATGATGTACTATATGAAGAGGATGAGCGTTTGTCACTGGTGAGCAACAAGAGTATCAAAGAGATTAGAGAGTTCCTTCATAGTTTGGGCTAGCGCCAATGCATAAAGCACGGTACAAATGCACTTTAATTATTATACATATGAGATTGGTGAAAGAGAATATATTAAATGAGTGAATAGTCATTTTGATCGATTTTTACTGTTTGTGTCTCTGTAGGGGATGTGTACTTGAAGCTTTGGTAAATGGACGAGCTAGACGCACACGTTGTGCGTACATTGCCGGAGTCACGTCTTCCACCTATTGAGCTTGCACTGCTCTTACGCTGCTGCAAGAGGACTTGTACGCCATTTTTTTTTTTCGTCTTCAAATCTCGAAATACTATTGTGTGCTTGTAAAATTTGGAAATTCGCGAGTTATATTTTCCTTATTTTAATTTTTTGATCCATATTTTGGATCTATCATTTGTACAAGTTTTGAGAATTTGTTGCTCACTTTTTTCCGTTTAGCTTATTGTAAGCCCATGAAAGCCGCAGATGTGTATGCCTTGAGTGTTTATCAAACAAAAAACACACATAAAAAGTGTTTTATTTTTTTAATTTTTTTTTTTATTTTTTATGAAACTCTTGCTTGGAATTTCACATATTATAAAAGATCATTTTTTAAAGTAATTATTTTGTATTTGTCGAACTGTTTTCACATTGAACTTTGTTTCATTGTTGGTTTAAATGTTACGACTTATAGGTGCTTTTCAGTATTCTCGAGATATATAAATAACGTCTTGTTTATTTTTTTTGGTTGTTCTTTGTTGGTGTACTATGATTGAGAGAGGTGCCATACTAGCTTTGGAGCAGGTCTATGAGTTGAGTCGATAAAATAATGTACAGAAAGAATAAGAAAAGTTAGTATGGCTTGTATATTTTTTATTTTTCATTCGATTGAGTTTTGTATGTTGCTCCGTTTGGTAATTTTCAACCTTCAAGAGTTGCTTTCTGATTATATATTAATGTGTATTTGGAGAAGATTTTATTGTCGGCTTAACAACATGTTCTTTACTTTAATAAAATTATTCGAACTGCTATGTGGACCTTATCTTACTATGGTGCCTCTCGATCTATACTTTTTTAGCTATTATGGATAAATACACATCCCGTAGGAATCCAATAGCATATCATAATGAAAATGTATTGTGAAATATGTGTTACTTAAAACTTATTAACATCAATTTTAATTGGGATAAAGGAGTGATGGTTGAGTTATGGATTTTTTTTCCTCTTATTTATGTCTTTGGACCCTAAATAAATGATTAGAAGTAATCATTGGGTGGGTTTTTTTCAGCTCTTTGCATGTCTTTGGCATACAGGTTATTGTCTATATAGATGGCCTGCAGCAAGTGTATTAATCTTAGTGTTATTCTTATGTTTAAGTAAAAGATACATTGCTCTACTTTGACCTTTCGCTGACGTGGATGCGAACATTGGATTAGTTAGTGTTGTTCTTATGTTTAAGTAAAAAATACATGGCTCTACTTTGACCTTCACTGGCGTGGATGCGAACATTGGATTTTTAGGTATGTTGATAACGTGTTGATTCGGTTACTTTGTTGGCATTCGTGCTTCTTGACATTTAACTGTTATGGCTTATGCGGTAGAGTTGAATTAACTTTTTGACATATGCCTTTCTTGTAAGTTCTTTGCATTAGTCATTTATACTACTGCATTTAGTTGCTGCATTTAGTTGTTACTGGTCATTGGTAATTGAAAATATGTAAGTGGGTGAATAGTGTTTTTTGTTGAAAAATATGAAATGATGTTTACTTATTATTTTTAATTGTGTCAGTTGGATTGTTGAGAAAAAAAAAACAAGGGAAATGAGATTAAACTTTTTTTTTTCTTTTTTTTTTTGTGTTTCGTATCAATTCAAGTCTCATTGAGGTAAATTTTGACTAATGAATAAAAAAGGGAACATTTCTTGCTCTATTTTAGTTGTTACTATGATTTTGCTGTTGAGTAGATTTGTTTCATAAACATGTTTTTGCTATCATAAGTAACATGTAAAACTTGATTTGTTATCATATTTATTACCAAGAAGGATATTCTTATGTTCTGTTGCATTTTGTGAATTTACTTTACAAGCTCGCGAATTAATCATGCCAACATGAAAAATAAAATTATAACTCGTGAAACTTTAAGGAGTGAATTACTAACTTAAACATGCTTATTTCCAGGTGTATGGTGTATATATGTTTTTATATGTACAAATTGAAGGATCACATTGTAGAGATCCTTTTTGGTCAGATTATATTGATTTTGTGGCAGAGCATTTGTTGGCAACAATTTACCATTCATATTTGTTTACTCGGTTACTGCAAAAGAATTTTGGCTTTTTTTCTACGATATGCATTTTTTCAATTGTTCTTTTACTGCTTTGAGAATATCATGGCTTGCACTGATCAAAAAGAAAATAACAAAAATATAATTTATTTAATATTTCTTAATAAGATGACAATGCAGTTTTTGTTTAGTGCAACCAAGTTTATTCTTGTTTTCCGACAATTTTCAAAGCAAATTATAATAATAATAATACGAACATGAATAAAAATTTCAACGTGAATCAAAATGGAGACTACAAAAATTTAGAAAATAAACCAGAAAAAATATAAATCCCTTTTCACGTGCTCTCCCTCCAGCTACCACTGCCTCTCCTTCCTTTTACCACCACATGTCAGTGGGACTTCGGCGGAGAGGAGAAGCCTGGGATACCAAAATCGAATTCTCCAAGATTATACCTATAGTAGGCGGAAGCCCGCCACCGAAATCTCTCAACCTCCGGAAGAATTGAAATATTGGTTCCTTATATAAGTATATTTTATAGGTAACTGGTAGTACCTCTTCATAGAACAACACATGAAAATGTATTACAAAATATAAGACATAATTATAATTATTAAATCACAAATAAATAGAAACGAATTTGGGCCCGGTTGTGCACAACCGAAGTCAAACTAGTATAAGAGATATGTAATTATAGTTCTCTAAAACCCTTCTGCTTTTTGTTCTTCTTTTTCAAACCCTCCCGCGAATTAAATCTTCAGCTAATTCTCAATATCCGTGGAAAAGAGGGATTTATGCGCATTCAGATATATTAATAAATATTGATGAGCAAATTCATTCAATTTGGTTAATTGGATCATTCGATTGGGTAATCAGCTCCGGTGGATCTGGATTTGTAGTTGCTGGCTTTTCTACTTATGATTTCTTTGGTCGTTTTTTAGTTGATTTAATTGTGTTCAATGGAAGAAGAGAAGCCACAAAATCTAGATCCGTTCGCCCCCATCCAATCTACTGGTTGGTTCTTACCTTCGCATTTGCTGCTCTGTTGTTTTGATTTCCTTTTCGTTTTCTTCGTTAATCTGTGCATACTTGCCTGTTGTTGCGATTCATTGTGGTATATTTTTGTGCTTTTATGAAGAAATTATTGGGCTTCATAGCTGGAATATCTGAGATTTCTTGATTTTGGGGTTCCCATTATTTCTGCACCGACAAATGAAGTTGATTTGAATTGCTTTCCGCACTCGGAATTTTCAAGAATTTATTGGAGGAGATGCATGGTGTTGTCTTCCATTATTTTTGGCTTCCTCTATATCCTGCTTGTAAAATTTAGCGGTTGGGGTTTTAGACTAGAAAAAGTAATGTTGTATGTTTTATCTGAAGATTCAGAGTTTCTTTTATGGCCATTTTTTTTTTTTTGTCTCGTCCATCATAGTAGTGGAAGAAAGGCTACAAGTTGTTTCAGCATGTAATCTTTACTTACTGAAATGTCATGTCAGTTAAATTAGTGAATCATCAAGATTATTTTGTTTGAGAGTCCACTAACGGCACATCCATTGCCCAACCCTTCCATCTTCACCCCCATCCTTTTTTCTTTAATCCATTTTCTCGGTAATCATCATTTTCTATTAGGTCAACGATGTTCCAGGAGATAACCAGCCTTCTGTATTACCATTGTAATAAATATCCATTTGTCATCTGTTATCTTCTCACTACTTATGTCCCATGTTTGTGGATGATATATATTATATTTACTGCTCTTATATTGACAATATTGGGATGGTGTTGTTGGATGCAGGCGACCAAGCTGTTGATTTGCATATTTTAAGTGAAGAGGTGTGCTTTCTGCATCCTCTTTTTTCTTTTTCCCAGCTGGGTTTTGTTCCTTAAGATCCATATGGTTTCATTTGCATACCTGATATGCTCCTTTTGTTCATCTGTTTGAATCTATTGTTAGATGACTTCCCAAAAAGATGAAAGGATTGCCTCTACAAATCCTTCTCCGGATGCAGTTGTCACGGGGGCTTCAAGAAACACCAAATATCAACCTGCAACTTCAGTAACAACTGGAGGTCTTTCTACTTTACAACCATTTAACACATATACCCCTCAAGAACAGGGTTATTACATTGCAGGTATTACTTGTTGTTAACTCAGTTGTTAGACAATTTAGAGAGCAAAGAATAGGAGCGGATAGAGGGAATTCTTTTGGGGACGGGGTTGTGGTGTTAAGTATGATATGTAAAATTGTAAATACAGAGGATAGAGTGTTTGAAAAATGGGGGAGATGTTATGTAGTAAAGACAGAATATTCTTTTATTTATTTATTTAAATTTGTGGCTTTTATTTACCACTCATTTAGGATGTTGATCTTGATCTTGCTGTGTCCAGGGTATGATAGCGGCAGTGGTAACTGGGATGAACATTCAAACTATGTCAATGCCGGCAACTTGAATGTCTTACCTCCGGTGAGTAAAGATGCTACATGATATCATGGATTAAAGATTTTCAAATACTAAATTTGTGTTTAACCTTATTGAAGGCCATGTACAATGAAAATTCTTCACTCTTCTTTCCTCCGAGCTATGGCTTTGACTCCCAGATGGCATATGGGCAGTTTTCTTCTCTGGCTAGCCCCCTTTCTCCAATAATGATTGATGGTCAGCTGTTTTCTCCTCATCAAGTGCCTGTGACCCCGCCTTACTATCCGCCACCGATTTCACCTGGCCCACCACATGTTACTTCGGCGCATCCTGCCTCACAGACTGAAATAATGGCACCAGGAAATAGCAGCCAAGAAAACCTTATTGACAACACATTTTTTGGGCCAGGTTCAGCTTACTATCTACCATTTGGATCTTTTAGTGGAGGTGAATTTTCTGGAAGTAGTGCCCATGGTCCTTACAAATTCCGTGGAGATTTTGGGTCAAGCGAATCATTTCCTAGGCGCTCGAGTTCCTTAGATACTAGCTGGTTCATATCTCCATTAACTTCTGGAACTGGATACGCTCAACCTATTGGCATACTTGGATCATATGAGCAAAATGTTGCACAGGTTTGTCTTATTTGTTTTTGACAAATTATGCACAATGTGTAGAAATTATATTCTTGAACTGCCACTCACATACACTGATGGAGAGAAATGAAACTTGGTCTTTCGTCCTCAGTCTTTAGTTCATTTTATTATTCTTGTTGGATGAAGTTGGTGTTTGCCGAGAGAGTGAGAGAAAAAGGAAAACTGACAAACATCCCCTCTAGTTTTCCTTCAATTCTATGGCTGCAAATGAACAGAAACATGCTCATCCGGTGTCTGCTTGTTGCTTGTTATTAGCATGCATTTATTAGTTATATTTACTACAAATTATCATAGATATGCTTATTTTAGTTTTAATTTTTCTAATAGCTTACATGTATAGTCATTGTATGTGTGTGCTTTGACTTGAGTAGAGTAATTACTTTCTTTAAAAGCATGTTCGAGTTGTTGATGAATCATGAATGAGTGATGACCATGCCTGTGAACCATTCGTGAATTTTCAGTTATTTAAAGACCGGAGAAGAAAATACATTTAAGATAGACGAACGAACATGACCAGCTCTCATTTGTTCACTTGGGTTGTCATCTGCCCTTATCAATACCCTACTCTCTGTGTGGTAATAACAAATAGGATTATCAAATTGGACTTTACTATCTTGTTGCTATGGTGTTTTTAAATTCTGTTACCAATCAAAACTATGTTTTGCTATGGGAATAACAGTGTTATCAAATGGCCGCCATGGCGGTATGGCGTGGCGGATTTTTGACAATCAGCCGTGGAAAATGTGTGAATGATGGCGGTCATGGCGGCGCTATAGACTGCCATGGCTGCCGCAATGGCAGAATTTTGGCAAAACGCCATGTACCGCCATTCGCCATTAATAACACTGGGTAATAACAAAACTATGGCTATGTTTGGTAACCAAATAAGCTATTTTATAGCTTATTTGTTTAGCTTATAAGCTCCCTGTATTCAAATAAGTCTTGTTTGGTAGGACGAGCTTTTTCAAAAAGCTCGAGCTTATTTGATAAGCTTCTTTAGGTAGCTTTTTAAATAAGCTAGTTAAATTTTTTTATTCCAGCTAGCTTATCAGCCAATTTTACCAAACACTTTTATCATATAAGCTAGCTTTTCAGCTATAAGTCATAAGCTCGAAAATTATTGATAAGCTATAAGCTAGCTTATCAGCTATCAGCTAGCTTATCCTAGTTTTACCAAACAAAGCCTATGTCTTGTGCCGTCTTTATTACTTCTCTTAATGTAGGTTTTGTTTGCCTTTTTTTTTTGTTGTATCTATGACATGTTCTGTTGGCATTTTGCTTTTCAGAGATGAGCATGGCATTGATTTAAGGGAAAACACTGTCTTCAAACGTCACTACTAATTTCTCACTCCATTTAATTTACTTGTTTTATAATGGCAGCCACCATTTCAGGGTTTTGGGTTAACGACAAATACCTCTGCTAGACATTTGGCCAACAGTGGTTCTTACCAAAGCTCTGTTGGGTCTAGTTCTACTCGATATCGAGTTTCCAGTGACAAAAGTGGAAGGCGAGAAAGGGATCGGGATTCTCTCAACATTTCTACAGATATGTCTGGTGTGTCAAGCGACCGGAACAGAGGACCAAGGGCCTTGAAGCCCAGAAACAAGAGTAGCCCCGAAGAAGAGTCTTCTGTGAGCATTAAAGATGTTGAATCAACTTCTAGGCTTCAGGCCGATCACATCAACTCGCCAGATTTCATAACCGATTATGAACGTGCAAAATTTTTTGTTATAAAGTCTTTTAGTGAAGATAATATCCATAAAAGTATAAAATACAGCGTCTGGGCGAGCACACCACTTGGGAACCGAAAATTGGATGCTGCCTATCACGAATTAAAGGAAATGGAAGGCATCTGTCCAGTATTTCTCTTCTTCTCGGTATGATTTGCCTTTTCTCCTCAATTTATTTTCTTAAATTTACGTTTTTTTTTCTTTTCTTTTCTTTTCTTTTTAGTTGGAACTTCTTAGCTGCTGTGCTGCATAGGAGAATTTAATTCTACTTGTAAAACTCATGAGAAAATTTTTCCATGCAGAAGTCTGATAGTGTTGAATATAATTGCATGTTTACCTAGATAAGTATAATAGTTCACTGATATTCTTTAATCATAAAAAAAGAAAAAAGAAAATTCTCAGTGCTGGCTATTAGATATTTGTTAGAAGGATTTCTAGCCCCGTCACCTGTTGCAGAAGGATGGCAATAGGAACTCTTAGCTAGTTTTTCTGGTTCAAGGAATAGTTTGTCAATAAGATGTAATAATTTAAAAAAAAATGATTTCACCTTTTCGTTTTGTTTTCCATTTGATATTGATGTATGGCAGATGGACTTATGTTTTAGTGAAGGATAAATATATGGGACTTTTTCATGAAACGGGAACCGTAGATGGAATATTGTTGGAATAGACATGGGCAAGAATCTTAGCATTGTATGAATTTGTTCAAGTTGTCACTTTGTCTCTGAGAACTATATGAATTTCTGGCGTATGTGAGGCTGACAGGAAATATTTTGTACAACAAGAATTGAACTTGATTATGTGCATAAACACATGGCTGGATATGGGCATTTTCGTTCTTCCAACTTTGTTGTATGTTAGAAGTTATGTGTTGGCCCTCTGTCATAATACTAAATGCCTCTGAAATTGGTTGATGGCAATGGAATGCATCATTATGGATTGTATCTACTTTCTCCTTCAGTATGTGAAATCTGACCTTTGTCACCAGTTCATGATTTTCTTTCTTGATGTATTTTTACTTCACTTTCTGCATACTTTGTAACTGGGAGGTGTATATCAGTGTCTTGAAACTTGCAGCTTGTAACTTATGTTTTTTCATATTGGTGTATTTGTTCTTTTCATGATTGCAGTTGTAATGACCTGCAGGTTAATGCTAGTGGCCAATTTTGTGGTGTAGCTGAGATGATTGGGCCTGTTGACTTTGAGAATGATGCTGATTACTGGCAGCAGCAGGATAGGTGGAGTGGTCAGTTTCCCGTCAAATGGCATATTGTCAAAGATGTACCCAACAGTCGCTTTCGCCACATACTTCTTGAAAATAATGACAACAAGCCTGTCACACACAGCCGGGACTCTCAAGAGGTATTGCTATATTATGAATCAACCACTTCTTCTTTGAAGTGTTTTGAAACGGATAAAATATGATTCAAATTTGTTGCCAATAGAAGTTGTTACAAGGAAAGAAAATTTTCATTCCATTCACTAGAAAGACCTGTGAGATTTACTTCCCCAACACTTCAATTACGAGTAGGAAAGAATGAACATGATAAAGATCACATGAAATAAGGCATAAATCATGAAACATATATTGAAGAATAAACTAATAATTAACCATCCAAGGAAAGAAAAATAAATCTATAGATTATGGAGTGATTTTGGGATCTGGATTGATTGTGTATTGAAGATCATTGTTATCTTGCTTTTATTATTATTACCTTTTATATTATGTGAGTTAAATATAAATATAGGCTAGTAGAGAAGGGTAGGCAACAAGAATCATATTGTAATAACTTTAGCTATTGGGCAAGAGTAGTTCTTGTTCGACAGAAGTTAAGTAAGTTCTGCTGGGAAGCTTCGAGCTTTTGGCTACCATTCGTATTAAATAAAATTTCATGTTTCATTTTCTTGACTCTTCACTCTTATCAATTGGTTCGATGTGCCGGCTACATATCAAGCTTCTGGTTACCATTCGTATTAATTAAATTTCATTTCATTTTCTTCACTCATTTTCTAGCGGTCGACAATGATAGAGATCGCATGAAATAAGGCATAGATCAGGGAAAGTATATTGAAGAAAAAATAATAATTGGGCATCCAAGGAAAGAGTACAGATTGTGGAGTGATTTTGGGTTCTGGTTGATTGTCTTTTGAAGATCATAGTTATCTTCCTTTTATTATTATTACCTTTTATATTATGTCAGTATAAATATAAATACAACAACAACAACAACATAGCCTTTCAGTATAAATAAATATAAATACAAATATAAATATAGGATCTCTAGTAGAGAAGGGTAGGTAATAAGAATCATATTGTAGTAGCATTAGCTATTGGGCAAAGGTAGTTCTTTGGGCAGAAGTTAAGTTCTGCTGGAAAACTTCAAGCTTCTGGATACAATTCGTATTAAATAAAATTTCATGTTTCCTTTTCGTGACTCCTTACTCTTACCACTCTTATTAGTAGATTCTATTGAATTGACTAGAAAGTAGAAAGGATAGAATATTCCTACACTCAACGTATTGCTTGGACACTTTTGCTTCTGCACCTCTATTGCAATCTTGGTGCACCTCACTTTTGCTTCTGACATCTACTTATACTTGGGATTCTTTGTTTTATTGGTCCCTAAAATACACCATAATTGTAAGTACTGTCATCTATTGTTTGCTGATTTTCATTTTTCCCGTCATTTAACTTGCTGTGACAATCTTAAAAAATGACACTTTAGCTAGTCATGCATGCTTCACTCATGTGTTTACTGTCCTTCATTTCATGTCCTTCATTTCAGGTGAAGCTGGAACAGGGAATTGAAATGTTGAAAATTTTCAAGGGCCATGATCCCGAGACATCCCTACTTGATGATTTCCAGTTTTATGACGAGCGGGAGAAAACCTTTCTGGAGAGGAAGGCAAAACAGCAAGCCAGTTATAGTGGGAATACAAGTGGAGATGCAGCGTCTGCTCATGTAACCGAATCAATTAGTCAACTGTCGGAAAATTTGGCCGATACTCTACGGTTGGATGGCAGTGTAAGCATATCCAAGGAGGATTTGGAGTAAGACATTAGCGCCAAGTAAAAGTGCAGTAATTAAGAGACGCTCAGGAAGTTGCTAACTGGATTCAATTGGAGGTGAACTTTTGATTCATCTAATTCTTTGCATCTTTCGTCGAGCTCGGTGTCTTCCCCTTCATTATTATCTGTGCTTGGGCAGTGAGTCATTATTTGGATTTCTTGGGTAATACAGCTGGATGAAAATCTGTGAGAGCCCTCATACTCCTTTGCTTTTGCTCTTTTT